TTACACTGGTTGTTTTCACCTTCACATCTAGTTTCATTGGCAGACTTAGAAAAGCATATTCAGTTATACTCAAAATTGTACTCTGAAAATGATGATTTAGAGTAAGAACAAGTTTTCAAATCATGAAAACTTTAAATCTTTCGGTCAATATTTACCGGTAATTCTGCAGAAATAACAAGTATCTATACACCAATAAATAGAGAGTGATCTCTGCGTGGTATTTTATTTTCATAGTCTATTTACTTCTGAATTGTTTTGCAGTTTTTTTACTTTCTGACGAAATAATCTCATTTCGATTTTTCATAAATTTATATGATGTAAAGGATCGTATATGTTTTAGGTTTTTATGATACAGTTAGTCGTCTCGAATTTTTCTTATTTCCTATCTTGTGCATACTAAAAACTTAATTTTGTTAGTCAAATACTAGCTATTTATCCTTGATACTTTTCAGAAAGTGGAAAATAACTCGTCAACAAACATGACACGGTTGGGCAACTTTATACATGTCTAACGATAAAGCGTAACATATTAGGCAAATAGCTGTATTCATTTGCTGCATATGACCAATTACTTTCTAACTGTTAATATATTAGTGGGTATAACTCACAAAGTACAAGCTTGTATTCTCATTTGTAGGCTAGATACTAAATGTGTATAACATTTAGATAATTCGTATTGTTTTCGTCGATTAATTCAGTATCCTCATGAATCACCGAATAATGATCTGATTCATGTATGACAATGCCTTCGAATTATTTAGTTGGTGGATATACAACCGAATGCATCGATTATGTGCTAGGAGAAAAGCACTTGTAAGTTGGGTGCTATTTAGCATTTATAAAACGTTCACGATAAATAACTCTGGTGGGGAGTCGGCATATCTTCATTTTGCTTATTTGCTACAGTTTCTTGAAGATGGATTCGATGTTATCGTTTAAACCATCAAGACAGTTAATTTACCACACATTTAGAACTCTATTGTGTTTTGCATTGTGGAAGTTATTTCATAATCCCGTATTTTCAGCGACTGGATAATAGTCAGAAAACATAGACACAGTGGCCACATTTTGTGGTTTAAGGGGAGATAGATCTGTGTTTTTCAATGTCACTAGCTGTCATGTGATATTATTTTTCGGTTTTTGAAGTAATGAGTTATTTCAGATGGCTCATCAGTAGTATTCTTCTTTGTTTAATTTCATCTATGTGTTTTGATGTTTGAATGGACGGCTAATAGTTCTTACAAGGTTTATGTCTCTCTAAACGAACGTGAGTTCCCGTATCATTTCTATAACACATACCCCTTGAATTCATTTGAAGGTCTTTGGTTGGTAACATTCGGCGACATTGATTGTCAATCGGTAATAATATTTACCTTTTATTACACTTTAATATGTATTTTTTCTAAGAAACAATTAGTATTCAGAAGATACGAGTCTGTTAGCTTTGGGTGAAATTTCCCGTACATAAAAAAGACAGTGACAGTCGAGCAAGTTGTGGAATCTTTTTTCTGATAAGTCAAAGTATCATAATATAGTTTACTGTATTCCCATCACTACTACAACTTTCTCACTCCATATAAACTTAAAGATAGGTGATATCATAGTATTGTACGAAAGCATAGGCTTTGGCAAATTAAACCCATTTTCCTCTTAAGTTTGAATTTAAAATGAATTTTATGAATTTATTTTTAAATGTTAGATAAAGTTAGCCTTATTATCCGAATAAATTCTACGCTTGTAAATTAAGTTACCAAGCCTACCATTTTATTTTTACCAAATGATTGGGTTATAGTAAAATTAATTGAAAACTTGGACATCAGGTCTTTTATTAAGTGGATTTCGTGACGGTTACGGCCTTTGAGAATTGGTGCAAGAGGTATTGAGACAGGAAATGCATTTTTAAAACAATTAATTTTGTTGAATGAAAAATAATATTTACCTCTGATATTCATCAGTAGTTTGTAGTTATGCAACCTAAATTTACATACTGAACTACAGTCTGTTGCGTCGTACGCTCAAACTTGTCACTATCTGCTAAGATTTAGACAGCCAATTAATAGTATAAGGAGCCCTCACCTGGTAGATGTTACTCATGATTATATGGACGGACGCAAATATCGCTGCTAAATTGTGCGTGGAAAAATTTTCTCAGTACAATGTGCCACTGCTCAGGTTTCTAGAAATTGTAAGTTCTTAATGTATGACAAATCATACGAAGTACATATCTAAGCCTCATACTGAATATAGGATGTTATTATTGTAAAGGATTTGGATTTTTTACACATTGAAAGTGTATGGTATTAAATAAATCGATATAATTAAACGAACAAGCCACCGGACATTAACACCAACATTTTGATAGTACTTTTATTTTAAGAGTTAGAGTATCAGATGGCAGACTGTGTAAAACCCTTATTTTTATATTTGGTATGTTATTTAGGTATGAGTAGGTAATCTAAAACAATTCACATAACTCCTATCTTTGATATCGTGACTTTTTAGGTACCTATGACTGTTCAGGACGTCCAATGTGTCCTTGAAGTTTTAAAGTTTGGGGTGAGCTAGAAACACGTATTACTTCTGAAATATCTGACCAAAGTACTAGTTTTGGAATACTTTATCGACTGGCTACACAAACACCATCTGTTGCAAATTTAGCTAATATCCCTTGTACAATATGCTTGGTAAGTTTCTGGTATTAAGCTAGTTAATGTAATATTCCACTGGCGAGATCAAACGATTGTTGTACTAGTCTATAGATATTCTTTAAGAAAACGAGTGCCCAACATTAGTCTTTTATCAACATATTTTAAGCATTTGTAGTTGCGAGTATTGAATTAAGGTTTTATATTTTTTACTTAGTTTTATGAAAGTAGACCTGTAAGAAAGAGTGTAGTTCATCGAATAGATTTCATTTAACCGATTTCACTCTCAGAGCTATACAGTCGCATGTAAATTTATATAGGAAGCACATTCTTCATGTTTGGTATTGATTCACTGATGAAATAAGATTTAAACTTAAAGGTGAGGAAATTCCGGAGTCCTATATAGTTGTTTATGTAAAAATTGACGCTTCGTTTTGCTAGATGCTTTAAAAGTATATTATAGAAAGGGTTTCTAAATCTCAAGTTTCTTGTGTACATTGAAATGTCTCTCAATAAACTTTAAATAAATTGATTTTATTATTGTAACTCAGTATCGAAATATTTCACATACCAGTTTATTAAATAATCAGTTACGTGGTGTTTTGGGGTTAAAGCATCTTATTCTAGATCATTGAACTATAGGTTTGAAGCTCGTTTCATTTCAACTTGGACAGTCGTAGCGACATCATTAAACCTCATACGAAGATCCTGGCTGGAAATCGAGTACATAAATATCAATGATTAACACAACTACTATTAAATTCATAGACCTCTATATTATTATTACTCATATAACTAATAAATCTTTTGTTATCATGATTTGTCATATCTTTATAAATAATTTCTATTTATTTGAAACAAATTCCACTTAGTGTCGAAAGGACTGTCGTCCAGATGGACCAATCAATCCTCAATCATGTAAACTTTTTCAAGAATTTCTGGAGTTCTAATGAAGAATGCATAATGACCAGTTGTATGCATTTTTAAAATACTATATTCTAAAACATTGCATATTCACTTCATATTACCAAGATTCATCGTTGGTCTTTCATGCTTACTTTTACTAGCAATATTATTTCTGTTATTATCATACCGCTTTGTTTGTTTCATTCTTGTTGATCAAACGGATATGAAATCTTTCGGAGTTTTTACTATCTTAGATTTAATAAAAAATGACATAGGTACACCGCTTCGAATAATCACAACTGTTGATGTTTTAACAATGATTTGAGCATTGAAATTGTTGGCTAGTAAATTACTTTCCTCTTCAACGTTTATGAACAAGTTACAACTAAATGTAGGTATATTAAGCTGTAAGGTTTGTATGTGAAAACGATAGGTACAAACTTTTAAATAAGGTTATGCAAATTTAAGGACTACGCATCTGTAAACTTTATCTGTTCACAATGGTTGTTCAGAAATTTTAAATAGACATCTAAATAGTAGTTTATATTTAGTAAGGCTTCAACGAGGAAGAGAATGTAAATTCTTTGTCTAATAATATGTTTCTACTATACAGATAAAATTATAAGTTCCTTAGTATGAATGGTGTTTTTTCCTTAGATTAGGTGTTCAGTTACGGGCCTTCATTACACTTGTGTATTATAATCCAGACAGGATAATTTTCTTTTCAGTGCGTAGCAACTTATCTCTTGTTGTGTAGTCCTCAAAATCAATCGACTTCTCTCCATCATGTTTATAATGTGATCATCGAGTTGAGTTGTTACCGCTATGGGCTGTCTTGAATATCACGTAGTTGGGAGCATTCGAGAATAAGCTCGGAACTCAAGTAATGTGCTGGTTTGTATCAGTTAGCATGGAGTATCTGCAGTTATAAGTTAATCGATGCTCTCTTAGATGCTTGGACCTTCCTTATCTAGTAGAGCAGTCAGAAACTTTGCCACTGAGATATTCAGGTTTTAATCTCTGCGATGAGATTGTCTGCACCCCTATAACAGCAGGTCGGGAAATACGGCGTTTTGAAATTGGATTAATTGGGTTGATGGTATTTTTCACTTCTTGGGGATCGACAACTGAAGGTTCGACCAAATGGGTGGCGTAAGTACTCATTACTCAGAAATACTTAATTAAACCGAAATATTCTCTTAGTACTCCCCGAAGTTCAATGGCTCTCCAAATGATATCTGTTTGTGCTGGTAACTATCGTCGAAATAATCGAAGTTGATACGCTGCACTTTTATTTTTCGTAATTCTAGTTTCAGGACATAAAGTACTCGTTTATTTCTCCTGTAAAATTAAATGGTTAACTTCAGTCAATCCCCAACCTATCAATAACATATGGTTTAAAAGGATTTCACAATGGATATCTATTTTAAATAATAAGACGATAAAAAATTGCTTAAGCTGATTTATAAACATTAGATTTAATGATGAATGATTAAACACAGTCAACGTTCTCAGTTTGTAAAATGTATAAACTCGTAACAGTAAAAACCTGTCATCCATTAATATTTATTAGTTTCGTCATTGTCCTCTCTTGTATTGTTAATATTTTCACATCGATTCACAGATATTTCACTTTCAGCTTGTTCCAATGTTGCACGTCTCAATGTCTTTATTTTAATTTGTCTTCTTTGCGAATATAATTTTTTTAGTAAACTATAAAATGATTTTGTGGATGCCAAAAACAATAAGCTCCAAATTACAACAACTGTGACGCAAACTACAGCATTAAATGTAAAACTTATAGCAATAATATTCTGTTGTATTGAATAGTATAAATAGTGATAAGATACACCTTTATCTGAAAAAGAAAACATGGAGATCTATATGTCCCATAAGGTCTTTTTAGTTAATGTATCTGACACTCAATGATGTCAGCTACAACATAGGACCAGTCACATATATGCATCGGTCCAAGTTGCCACACCTCATTAGCACAACAAGATGAACAACAAATTCATAGAAGCAGTTACTTCAATGGTGGTAATGTATAAAAGATTTCATATAAGGATATGATACAGGGAGAAAGAATAAGTTCGTAGAAATCAGGGTATAAAGTAACTTCAACCTCATGGTTAAAGTATAGACAGAGAGTATATACATCTACTTCATTGTGATCGATTCTGAGCCATGTCACCCAGAGTCTCGAAACATTGGTTACGATAGTCGCGCGGAATTTAGCAAAGTAGTTTGCATCTACCGACATGGATAAGGCCAGAAGTTAGTGACCTCAATGACTGATGCCACGTTTTGATTTGGCCGCCCCTAACTTTCTTCCAACTATTCCCAACACTAGTCAGCATTGTGCGTCGTGGTAATCGGTGTTCAGGCATACGTAACACATGGCACAACCATCTCAGTCGATGAAGGTTTACAACCCTAATACCTTGCGTCTAACCTCACTATTACTTACCCGGTAATCCCAGCAGATGCGAGCAAAATTTCTAAGGCATCTGTGGTCAAATACTGATAGCAGCCGTAAGTTAGAACAGAACGAACTGCTGCGCAGTACACTCGTCAGTTAAATGATAGGCGGATATCTCGCCTTCTCCATATGTGACGTAAGTTGGTAAAAGCCAGATGAGCCTTTCGAATCCGTGCTGATATTTCGTCAGACACCGACACAATAGGGCTGGTCAGACTTCGAAGATAAGTGGAATTGTCAACGCGTTCGACTACTTCACTCCCTATCCTTAGTTCAGGTGATGACGCAGACCAGTCCTGAAGCATTGTTACTTAGTGCTATCAAAACTTACTTACTTACTTACGCCTGTTACTCCTCGTGAAGGAGCATAGGCCACTCACCAGCATTCTCCATCCAACCCTGTCCTGGGCAATCCTTTCTAGCTCCGTCCAGTTGTAATTCATCCTTTTCATATCTGCTTCTATAATCCGACGCAATGTGTTCTTTGGCCTTCCTCTTTTTCGCCTCCCTTCAGGGTTCCAAGTTAGGGCTTGCCTCGTGATGCAGTTTGACGATTTGCGTAATGTATGTCCTATCCATTTCCATCGTCTTTTCCTAATTTCTTCTTCAGCTGGAAGTTGCTTTGTTCTCTCCCACAGAAGGCTATTGCTGATGGTATCCGGCCAGTGGATGTTGAGTATCTTGCGTAGGCAGCTATTTATAAATACTTGTACTTTCTTGATGGTGGTTGTTGTAGTTCTCCAAGTTTCAGCTCCATACAGTAGAACTGCCTTGACGTTCGTATTGAAGATTCTCACTTTGATATTGGTTGAAAGTTGTTTTGAGTTCCATATGTTCTTCAATTGTAGGAATGCGACCCTTGCTTTGCCGATCCTCGCCTTTACGTCTGCATCTGAACCTCCTTGTTCATCGATGATGCTTCCTAGGTATGTGAAGGACTCTACATCTTCCAGAGTTTCGCCATCAAGAGTGATTGGATTGCTGTTCTGCGTGTTGAATTTGAGGACCTTGGTTTTCCCTTTGTGTATGCTGAGGCCTACTGATGCAGAGACTGCTGCTACACTGGCTGTCTTCATCTGCATCTGTTCGTGTGTACGTGATAGGAGGGCTAGGTCGTCTGCGAAGTCCAAATCGTCTAATTGATTCTGAGTTGTCCATTGTATTCCGTGTTTTCCTTCAGATGTTGAGGTCTTCATAATCCAGTCGACCACCAGAAGAAAGAGGAAGGGAGAGAGTAAACAGCCTTGTCTGACTCCAGTCCTTACTTGGAATGCATCTGTCAGCTGTCCTCCATGCACTACTTTGCACTGTAGTCCGTCGTATGAGTTCCGGATAATGTTGACAATCTTCTCAGGAACTCCGTAGTGTCGAAGAAGTTTCCATAATGTCCTCCTATCTACACTGTCGAATGCCTTTTCATAATCAATGAAGTTGATGTATAGTGATGAGTTCCACTCCACTGATTGTTCGACGATGATCCGTAGTGTTGCAATTTGGTCTGTGCACGACCGATCCTTACGGAATCCAGCTTGTTGATCTCGAAGTTGGGCGTCTACTGCATCCTTCATCCGGTTCAGCAACACTCTGTTGAAGACTTTCCCTGGTATTGACAGTAGTGTAATGCCTCTGTAGTTTTCACATTTGCTCAGATCTCCTTTCTTTGGAATCTTGACGAGGTGTCCTTCTTTCCAGTCCATTGGCACTTGTTCCTCCTCCCAAATCTTTTTGAATAGAAGGTACAGCATGCTTGTGGTTGCTTCGATGTCTGATTTCAGTGCTTCAGCTGGTATGTTGTCGGGTCCTGCTGCTTTCCCGTTCTTGATTTGTCTGACGGCCATTCTAATTTCTTCCGTCGTTGGTGGGTTGACATCTATAGGAAGATCTATGTGTGCTGCTTCGATGTCCGGTGGATTCATTGGAGCCGGCCTATTCAGGAGTTCCTCGAAGTATTCCACCCATCTGTTACGCTGATGTTGAATTTCGGTGATTGGCTTGCCTTCTTTGTCTTTGACCGGCCTCTCTGGTTTACTGTATTTCCCTGCTAGTTTCTTCGTTGTATCGTAAAGCTGTTTCATATTTCCTTCTCTAGCAGCTTTTTCTGCCGTCGTTGCTAGTTCTTCCACGTATTTCTTCTTGTCGGCTCTAATGCTCCTCTTCACTTGTTTGTTTGCTTCTATGTATTCAGCTTGTGCTTGAACTTTCTCTGCTCGTGTTCGGCTGTTGTTAATTGCTGCCTTCTTGTTCTTCCTTTCTTTGATCTTGTCCAGTGTTTCTATAGAGATCCATTCCTTATGATGGTGTTTCTTTAGGCCCAGAACCTCTTGACACGTTGAAGTTAATGCTTCCTTGATGCCTTTCCAGTTGTCCTCCATACTAGTTTCTTCTTCTTTCAGTAGATCTTGTAAGGCTTGGAACCTGTTGTTGAGAGCTATCTTGAATTCATTGAGTTTGTCAGTATCTCGAAGGAAGGCTGTATTGAACCTTTGTAGTGCTGTTTGTCCACTTGTCCAGTTCTTTTTTAGCTTCAGTTTTAAATTGGCTACAACTAGGTGGTGATCTGAAGCTACGTCAGCACCTCTCCTGGTTCTCACATCTTCCATTGTCCTTCGGAATTTTTTGTTGATGCAAATATGATCTATTTGGTTCTCTGTAGTGTGGTCCGGTGAGATCCATGTAGCCTTGTGTATACGCTTGTGTGGAAATATTGTGCCTCCTATGACCAATTTGTTGAATGCACATAGATTTGCAAATCTTTCTCCATTTTCGTTTCTCTGTCCCAGTCCATGTCGTCCCATGATATCTTCATATCCGGTGTTGTCTATTCCGACTTTGGCATTTAGATCTCCCATCAGAATAGTTAGGTCCTTTCTTGGCATTTCTCAATGATTGACTGCAGCCGCTCGTAGAACTGATCTTTAATGTCGTCGTTGCTATCATTGGTGGGTGCATAACATTGGATAATATTCATTAAGATCCCCTCCTTCTTTGTTTTGAATGATGCTTTGATGATTCTGGATCCGTGAGACTCCCATCCTACAAGTGCATTTCGTGCTACTTTGGACAGCATAAGAGCGACTCCCTGAGTGTGTGGAGCATTGTCCTCCTCGTGACCGGAGTATAGCAGCATCTCTCCCGTAGCTAGCCTTTTCTGTCCAGCTTGGGTCCAGTGGGTTTCGCTGATTCCCAGTACTGCTAAGTTGTATCTCCTCATTTCCATTGCTATTTGACTGGTCTTCCCGGTTTCCCACATTGTTCGAACGTTCCATGTACCTATAAAAATTTTTGCTCTGGTTGTTAGAAGGGGCATCGGCCTCGTGGCTTCCGAAGGAACTCGGCTTTCACCATGAAGCGTCATAATTCTTCTAACTGAAGACCTTCTAACTCCCAGGGCAGAGTTTAAATGGTTTGAATAATTTTTTCTGGTAAGCGTTTTTTTAGCGAGTTAGTTTTCTACGGGATGGGGACGCTAACCCCATGCCCAACCCTCCTCCTTTACCCGGGCTTGGGACCGGCAGTAACCCTATTAGAGCTACAGGCGGAGTTAGTGCTATCAAAAGACTGCAATTTATCAGCGTCTTCACCAAACAGGACTATGTCATCTGCGTATTCTAAGTCGATAAGTGGACCTTCTGAAAGGAGATCAAATCCTGAAAATTCAGACGACAAGAACGTTATTTCCATCAGTAGGTCTATGATGTAGTTGAACAAAAATGGAGAAAGTGGACAGCCTTGTCGAACACCATTTGAGGTGACGAAATCAGATGACATTTCGCCATAAACTCTGACTCAACTAGTAGTGTTCGAGTAAAGAACATTCACAAGGCTTTTGTACTTCCGAGGTTCACCTTTCAATGGTTAACACTACCACAGAACCTCTCCGTCTACAGACTCAAATGCTGCTTTTAAGTCGAGAAAAACCACCATTGTCGGACGCCGATAAGCATGTCTGTGTTCTAAGATCAGATGAATGGTGGATATATGGTCGATGCAACCACAACCAGGTTTGAAGCCAGCCTGGTTTTGTGTTTGAAGTTCACAAGTCTTTGTTAAGCACCCGATAATTATTGAGGCCATACTCAATGGTCCGAATAATCAATTCTAAGTGCGGGATCGTGGGTGCACACTACTGAGGAGTTCCATAATAGGACGGAACGGTCGTCCAGTGTTTCCAGGTCTTCAATGGTGGCCCAACATCGATTCATCCATTATTTCAATCGAAAACTTAACAATGTCCACAACCCCATATGGATAATGATTTCCAAGTTTACAGATTATGGTAGCCCACCATCCCAGTCCTTTGCAGCCCAACAGTTTATGGGCGACTACATTTTAACCGATTTCCTTCAAAAATTCTATATATGTGGATAAATATTTTCTCTAGTGATATTTTATCGTTTTTACAGAAGATAGCAGTAATCTAGTCTGTTTTTATACATAGTTTGTGTTAACGGGACATAGATTGGATCAAAGCACGTTCCGTGCACGATTGTGTTGCTGCACTCACTATTTATTATACAATTAGCGCTAGTCGATACTTGGAGAAAACTCTAGAATCTCATGTAAAAACTATAAATATACTAGTGTTTTTCTTATTGTGCTTCTCACTTCCATATACCCTTTTTATTTGGAATGTGATTTCGTCCATGTTCAACCATGTTCTGATTTGTCGATTTGTCGAGTGAATTGGTGTCCAAGATTACTAAGTAATAGGAACAGCTGGGTTGTAATAAAAGAAATTACAACACTTTGTAAATGATCTTAAAAATAAGATGAGAGTTAAAAAGCGAAGATTCGTTTTTGAGGATATGTGTTCTAGTCTATAGACAAGTTTTGGTAAACAGAATTAGGCATTCAAACAATAAAATTTTTAAACAACCATACAAGATTTTCGGAGTACTTACAACTATAGAATCTTATCTGAGTAATAGATGATAGTTCTTGATGTGTAAATTTAGAAAAGATTTATGATAGAATTATGGATTGTTACTGCAATTAATACTTTATATCGTTGATTAGTTATCAACCTGATCTGAGCCACCATTTGATAATTTTTGTTTATATGTATGGTTGCCTCGATATACTTCTTTCTAGTAACTGTTAAACTAAGTAGCATAAGATTTTAATAATAGTTAATAGTATTCACTTCAAATTTAGTTTTAACATTTGAAACTATAGTTCACTGATATTAAGAAAATAAGAATATGTGATGGATATCTTTGTTGATTTACTCATTAAGAGATAAAATAGGATACTCGAACGACATATTTTGTTTAATTATGATTACTATTGGAAGGAGGAGTCTTTCGTCTATCAATCTGAATACAGACAATGTTCTAACTGCTGGTTAGGTAGAATTTGATAAGCTATTAGCTCATTAAAAATTTGAAATGAAGTTACCGCTTACTAGTAAATTAGACTCTTGTAATGGTAAAGTTGCAAACGCAGTCAGTATATCTATTAGAGATTATTTAATGGTCAAATGCTCATCTGTTAACTCAGTTTTCATATTTCTTATTGTTATTTTGAACTTAAAATTCTCGTGACAAGGACCTTGGAATTGGTAATTCGGGATTCAATGATACACATTTGCATCCATTTGGTGGCATAATGTGGATTCCGTTTAAGGTCATCAGTACGCTACTCATCACTTCTCAACAGACCTTCAAAAAACTGTCTCAGATAGAACCACTAGTGAGCATAAGTCGGTTTTATTAAGTGTTATATAGGGAGGCTCCTATAGTTTGAAGGTCGTTTTCGTAGTACTCACTATGCTTATACATTGGGATACTTGTCATCATCGTAAAAATCGGTATAAAGTTGAAGCAACTACTCATGTGTAGTATGCCTAATTACGAAAGAAAATTCTGATTTTCGGTGTAAACTCATTATGGATTAAAAATCTGAGACATTACCATTGCTCATTAGATATTTTACGTTAAAAAAGGAGTAATTTCGGGAGTTGGTCGTGGATGGGCGAGTGCGTTGATAAATAAAATCCAGTTTGTAAACGAACCTAAATTAGGGGATTTTATTTAGTGGGTTATCTAAATTATGAGAAATTAAAAGTCAAAATAATAAAGTCAAGGGTTGAGCAATATTGTGAATTGTTTGAGGCTAGACATTAACATCGTTGAGTTCCGGTTTAGAGATTAAGTGTCTATGTGTGAGACTGAATGTCCCTGGCTAGATTTCCGATCGTGGGGTCATGAGTGGGCAATGCCAAGTACAATACTAGGTCAAAACGGTCGTCCAATGCTTCTAGACTTTCATTGGTGGTCTAGTCAAAATAAGCGTTTTATTTAAACTGTAGTAAATCGAAGTCAAACTAATTTCTCAGTCTTCTATTTAAGAAATATATTGTCATTAATTAAAACAAAAAAATTGATTTAAATTAAAACGAGATTTAGATTTCACACTAAAGTATTCAATTCACATACACACTTGCTTTCTACAATCATTAGATTTTTGCTTATCTTTTTAAAAATCAATAAACAAGCAATTCAACTTCTCGTTGTTAGCTATTTACTTACATATACATAAATGTTCCGAACATTTAGCATATTCAATGGGTGGACCTAAACATAGCTTTGATTTATTCCCCAATTTCATTGAGAAACAATCTCTCTGGCGTAAACTGTAACGTATATCTCCACAGGTTGGTTGACACTGACCCCATTCTGACCATTCCGACCATACACCAACCCATTCTTCGCAAGCAGGTCCACCGTAACCAGGATCGCATACACATTTAGCCTTTTTAAAGAAACAAATTTTACATGAAAATTATGTATATATGTTTTGTGCTAAGTTAGTGTTTTTAGCGTGAGATATATAGTTTATCAAACCAGTTGACAAAGTATGGGGATTACATTGTATATCGCTTAGGTCTATTTGATATCGAGTAGGATGTATCAATTCGATATATCCTTCAATCAGTGAGGAAACAACGGATTGTGAAATCAAAATTTGTTTCGCGGAAGATTGTAATATAATAATGTTAGTTTCCGAAAAAAAACAATCAAGAGAAAACTTTTTTTGAAGCATTGTATGTTGAATACTACAACTTCTCGTAGAGAAACAAATTCAGTCATTAGATTCTATTTAGGATCTTGAAAAGTTTGCTTCAAGTTTGACATAAATGTTTTTGGTTTTTTAAACAGGACAAGAAATTTATCTTTAAAAAACAAGTCGAAATTTTAGTTATTTTGACTGAAGCTACGCTCCGACTGTGATTTTGCAGAGTTACGAGAACTGCATGAAAAGGATACCTATCGGCAAGATAAATACTACTATCAATTTATTGGCATTGGAGTGATTTAAACTCGCTTTACATCACATTTCAACTGAAGATCTTAGTAGATAATAGTATTCCTGGGCAAATACTCGTTTCATTTTCACAAATTTATAGGTTGATACTTTTTCATAACTTAAAACTTGATCGACTATACCTCACAATAAAAGTTATTCGAATGAGCCAGCTAACCATCGTAAAGGGATTAATACTACCAGCGACAGTGAAAGGTTTCATTATCTTCGTACCAGAACTTTCAATAAACAAAATATTTCAGTATGATTAGAAATGTCGTAGTTACTGAACACTATCCTAGTCTTCAATGTTTATTACACAGATAATTATTCAGCTAAGAGTTTTCAAGAAAAGATAAGCCATTTCAACTGTTTCACACATTATTGTTTATTCAAAATTTTTTATTTACACAATTCAATAGAATACTACGTATAAAGGTATAACATAACCACTTACCTGATCAGTATGATTATTTGAAACACAAAATCCATGTACACATACAATAGAATCGCACTTTGTCTGTTTTTGTAAGCAATTAGGATAAGGTAATTCAATATCTGGTATCCAGTGCGTTTCATTACATTGACATTGATATGATGCGTCACCTTCAGCACTTATTAATGCGACACATTTATTGCCTGAACTATTAACATTACATGCTGTGTTACCAGCAATTAATGTTCCACCATTTGGTTGTAAATGATGTTCAATACGAAATAGACAAGCATTTATTTTGTCTTGGCAATAACTACCGTGATAATCAAGTTTGCACACACATATTGTATACTTAAAGTAAATAAATGACAAAAGAAAAAGAAAACAATTTTTTCGATACATGTCTAATCGAACTGAATTTTGATGGTCATTTTGAGCTTGCTGATTATCAACTACTGGAAAGAATACAACCAATTAATTAACCAATCATTTTCGTTAATCATCAAAATTTAACTAGCATAGTAAGAAATATGAAAATAAGCTTCATCGAAAATATTTAACAATCATGGTTGCCGATATTTTAAACTTCAATTTCAAAGCTAATTAAATTTAGAAAAAGTAGATATTAAAACAAAATCTGTAAAATATTTAAATATTTGTGGTTGTGTTGGAGAGATCTAGAGTATTCCTCAAAAATGTCCAAAGTTACTCTGAAAACGTTGGGAAACATTTTATCCTATCAACGCTGAATAAAAGTGTCTCAGAAACATCTAGAATGCGAAAAGTCACGTGTCACATTCCTGACTGGACGATTACCTACCATGATACTATGTTTATTTACGTTCCAGAAGCTCAAGGCCATCTGCAATACTATAAATACCCTCGATTTTTTGCACATAAACCAACCTTGCAGTAAAGCCTTCTTTCCATATTTCGTGCCTTTGTTCTCAAGTTCAAGTTGCCGAGTATATTTAGTCTGAGGTTATTAGAAGAGCTTAGGAAACCGATTTAAACGTTTAGTTAGAAGAATTATCACACTGGCTGTAAAAATGAGTTGACGTCTATGTGGTTTATTTACATAGAACAACTGTGCAGCAAATCTAACCCAGCCGATTAGATCACCAGATAAGAGTTTTCTAAACGCACAATACCATATTATAGAATACATAGTAAGATACGGTTAAAAATTTACAAAGCAGAAATTATGTTGTACTTCAGCACTTTCTAAAAAGTTTTCAACTAACCTAGAACTTTGTGTTATTACAATTTTTTGAGGAACATAATATGTATAATACATTTAATTACCTATACATTTTCGATGCCATCTAATTATATTACATTATATACAATAAGTTAACTTTTTTAGTTTTTAACTTCGTCCTATTTTTAACCTATTTATATTATGCTGTACTTACTTACTTACTTACCCCTGTTACCCCTCGTGAAGGAGCATAGGCCACCCACCAACATTCTCCATCCAACTCCGTCATAGGCAATCCTTTCTAGTTGCTAATCATCCTTTTCGCGTCTGTTTCCAATTCTCTTATTTAGGATCTAATAATCCATTTCCAGATTCAACCACTTTTTGACAGAAAGTAATTTCCATCCGATATCAACGGTAAAACTGATTCACTCATGACATTTTATAGCATGAATTAAAAGTATATTCTTCTAAGAAATATTTCATAACTGACCAAGAAATAAAGCCAAATTCCTATAAAGAAATTATGCTAAGTTTAAAGATAAAATACAGACGTGGACAATATAGATACTTTGGAGAACATTCACATCCTTCATTTACGCAGGCAGAAGTAATACGTTCTCCACATGATACATTCACTAGTACATAGTCAACAACACCAACAACTCATCAAAATGTATTCAATTCTGACACCCTAAATTTTCGAACTACCTGTTTTCGATAAGCAACTTATTTTACGGATAATATTTATGCTCAGTACACAATACAGTGAACCAATTATTTTACTAACCTCATAATTTGAATCCAATGTACAAAATAATGTTCCATTTTTACTACATTTACTATAGGGCTCACAATTCCTCGGGTTTCTTTGCCTTCGAATCTTTTCTTTCGTTAACATATCAGGCTAGTTAGGTAAAAGAAAAAAACTGGAGTAAGTTTGGGTGAAGTAAATACTACTCACTACCTATTAGTATAGATTTGTAGCGAGTGTTGAATTCCATAGTTTGCATCACGGAATGACGCTAATTAGACAACCTGCAAAAGCAAAGAAGCACCAGACAGATTTTTTGTTCTAGTATGGGAATCGTCGGCAATGTGTCACTAACTCCACGGGGGAATGAATCTTTTGTCGACACTTAGATCCTAAGTTTCTAAACTAACTTATGCAATTTATTGCTATTATTCTATTAATCTCGAATTGTATCTTCCATACCTGATCTTTTATACAACCCCTAATACTGTTAGTACATGTTTTACTCTGGTATGTTATGACAATTTCATTTCGCTGCGTTAGTAGGGTATGGTAGCTTAAACGAATACACACATGTGGCAGGTTCTACGTTGCATATGACTGAGTGACTGAAATAGGAACAAACGAATGTTCAGTGTCTCTAGGTTTTCTAAGATTATAAATTTATAAGGGGATGTTACGTCAGCTAAATAAACTGCTTGATTTGCATGTTTAAGATTTCATTTTGATAGTCAGTAATTTCTAGTTTTCTACTAATTGCTATAATTATGAAAATAAGTGGTAATATAATATTAACTTTTTCCACATGTTCGCTAGTGTGATGAGTCGGAAATTTTGTACTATATTTTTTAACTCCGTCTACAATTGTAAATATATACTTTAAAAACTACCGTTGTCCATTCTGAAGTCAGTCTGCAAATGAAAAGCAGATTCAAAGTTGTGAAATTTTGTGTCTTTTCATATAAAAAAAAACAATATCAACTCATATAACCATATGAAAAATCAATCTACTTACATAATTTCTCGTTTGTCTTATCTTGTATATACTATCTGGTAAGCATTCATTACTATCTCTATCCCATTTACTTGAATTATCACAAGGACATTCATATTCATGTGTAAATATACCATAATTTTTACATACATTAAATGAACAGTCTTCTTGTATAACACATGGGAATGGACAAAAAACACGATCATTTATAATCGGTTCTAAATTTTCTTGATATCGACTATAACATGCAGTTAAACATAGTGCATTTAAAAAATTCAAATAGGTTACATTATTTATGGTTTTTATTGTTTCATTTCTTTGAGTTTGTTCAAATGTTTCAATAATAACTCGATCATTGTTATTTTTTATTGGAATTAAATATTCAATAAATAGTTGTCTTATATAATTCCAACAATCATCAAACATTTGAATTGTTTTATTAAAACATTTATGAGAATGTATAGTTTTTAATTTGTGCAATTTATTGATATTCGTTAAATTTTCAATACTGAACCATTTCAATTTACCAAATAATGGTAGTGCACTATTTAAAATAATGTGTGTAAATCCTGTTTCTAACATTGAATCTGTACAAAACAAATTAGATTTTTGTAAATATTCAACGGTATAATTGATATGAATTAGATAGAAAATGAATAAATTTAGTATATATATGTAATTCATTGTGCAAAACATACATATCACTTCATGGAAGTAATATGAATTCTTACACATTTAGTAATGACGAACGAATTTGAAATAATCAATAAGTATACTGAAGAATGATTTTTACGTAATAGAATTGGATCTGTTATCGTTTAGTATAAGATTCTTAATCACATTATTATTATTAAAATGAATTATGAAGAACTATAATACACACCGACTTAACTACTGATACATTTATCAAGTTTACATCAAATGGCCTCAGCTATAAATAAAGAGTAGGAATATTGAAAGTACAATCATTATATTAAGTAAGAAAGAAAGCTTAGTTCAGCGAAGAATTCTCTTTTTGGCGAATTCATTTTCAAAGCTGTACAATTGCAAATATATATACTTATTTTTACAGGGTGATAATAATACTGATAATAAACTTCTGTTATACATGGTGATAGTGAGGTTAAATAAACAAAGGTATTAAAAAAATTTTTAAACAAGGAAAGTTTAATAATCGTTTGATAGTTAATGGCTGAAGTATTCATTGGGTAAGGATGGTTCAACATGATAAAATAAAATGTTGAAACAGAGATGAAATGTGATCGGAATGATCGTGGAAATAAAAACAAACCGGTTTGGGGTAGAAGATTTGAAGGGAAGATGGAAGGTGAAGCAGGTGGCTGTAAGGGAACAACAGTATGAAGGAAGAGGAAAATTTTAATACATTAAGACCATGGTAGAAGAATAGGTTGTACCAGTCTCTTTTGTACACATAATTCTGGTTTTTCAAAATGTATGGCTATTGCCTCGGCAATACAAAGAAGATGCAGTCTAATTGTCTTGTGAAGGCTTCTACTTACCTTGTAGATGACTTTGAACACAGAGTCTGTCTTGATTGAATGACCTGTGTTCACAAGATGTTCGATTATTGAACTTCTTATTGAGCCGTTGCCTCCTTTTTTAGCCACTCCGGACGATGTTTTTGAATTCTCTTGGATAAAATACGCATCGAACGACCTATATACCTAGCTCCACAAGAGCAGGTAAATTGGTAAATGCACATTGAGTTGGTCAGATGCGATAATTTATCTTTCAGATTATTGGTGAACAGTGATGGGCTGGAGAATAATATGCGCAATGTTGCTACGAAGAATGTTCTTTTCAAAGAATCCGAAATTCTCCTCTTTAAGATATATGCGGCTCTATCACCTTTGAAGTCGATGTTCATGTATAAGATTTTCTTTTCTACTGTAATTGTTTGTGGTTTTGGCATTTTCGGCTTCATGTTCTTATCAATGAATATGGAAGGATATCCGTTTTTGATAAGTATCTCTTGTAAAAGGTTCAATTCTTCCTCTACGACCTCGGGGCTACAGATTCTCCGTATTCTTGTGGCGAGAGTTATTATTAAGTTTCTTTTTCGGCTGATGGGAACCCAACTGTGGAAATTTGAGAGTTGGCCATTCCACATGGGTTTCCTGTACATAGATCTTTTTAAAGTACCATCTTGTTTTCTTGTCATATCTACATCAAGGTAGTGGATACTTTGTTTGCTTTCAACTTCAAGTGTGAATTTTATTGATGGGTAACAATTATTAAATGTCTTTAGAAGATCACTTAAGTTACATTTCTTGTCACAAATGATAAAGATATCATCCACATACCTTTTATACAAGTGGAGGTTTTTGATAATTTTTTTGAGTTGGTTGTTTTCTAAACTGGCCATGAAGCAATCTGCCAGTAATGGACCAAGTGGTGATCCCATTGCTATTCCATCCTTCTGTCTATGAATTACATCAGTGAATGTGAACTGTACATTGCAAGTACAACGTAGTAATAGTAACAGGCAAAAGTCTACTAACAGAAGAACATAGAAATCAGATAAAACTACTTAGAAATAATAAAGACTTGATTATAACACGTCCAGATAAAGGTGATGGATTACAGAAGCTTAAAACCAATCGTAATTGAATGAAAACAAATTTATTATTTTATTTTATTTGAACACATGAATATTGGTACAGGAGAGCGCCAATATATATGCGCCACACAAAACAATGAGAATTCGAAGAGAAATAGAAAGAAAAAAAACTAGGGAGCGCAAAAGAAAAAGAGAACAATAACGAAGAGATTGGTGTAAGGTAGTGTAATAGTGGTAATAATGGAACGGAAAGGTACAATCAGAAGAAACCCTTTAGGTAAGGAAGACAACCATTTTTTATGAAGAAAGTAAAAGAAGGTTACAGCAGGATCGCCACTGGCTTCTATTCTGAGCCATATCTGATAACGTCTCTAGCCACTGTGTAGCACCATCTCTCGGACCCCAACCAGGGAGTCGTGAAGGACCAACACAAGCCAGTCCTTTGCAGCTTTCTTTCATACCACGACACCATGTCATGCACTGACCACCTCTCCGCTTCTTCCAACCAGTCCCAGAGTCGGCAAATAATGCACGACGTGGAATTCTCTGGGACGACATTCGGAGAACATGTCCAAGCCACCGAAGTCGGTGTTTCAAGATGGTGACACCAATTGATTATCATCTCTGTGCCCGAACACACGATGCCGAACCTCTGCATTACTGACATGGTGTTGCCACTGAATGTCAGCAATCCTTCGGAGACAGCGATGATCGAACACAGAGAGTCGTCTAACGTCCTCAACTCGGAGAGGCCAGGTTTCACAAGCATAGAGCAAAACTGCTCTCACCGACGCGTTGTAGATCCGACCTTTTACAGCCAGACTAACATCACGAAGGCGCCAAAGGTGGCCCAGATTGGCATAAGCCGCTCTGGCTTTCACTATTCGTGCATTGATCTCATCACTCACACCCCCACCAGCACTTATGCAGCTACCCAGATACACGAACTTCTCGACTACGTCTATCTGCTCACCATCCAGGGTGAGTACAGGATTAGAATCCTGCCAGTCTTGTAGAAGTACTTTGCACTTCGAAGGTGCAAAGCACATACCATACCTACGGACACTGATTGCCAACTGATTAAGTGCGGATTGCATGCCTTGGGCATTATCGCACAGTAAGACAATATCGTCCGCATACTCAAGGTCGAGAAGTCTTTCTCCAGGCAACAGATCCACACCACCATTACTTACATTCATCAGAGCTGTTTCCAGAATGTCATCGATGGCAAAGTTGAAGAGGAATGGTGAGATTGGGCAACCCTGCCTAACCCCACTGCTCGAATGGAACAATGGAGAGAGGTGGTTGTATGCCCTCACTCTGCCTGAGGTGTTTTTATATAGGGCTTTTAGGATGTTAATAAACTTCTCAGGCACACCCTTCTTCAATAGACAATCCCAGAGAACAGTCCTGTCCAACGAATCGAAGGCAGCCCTGATGTCAAGAAACACTACGATTGTTGGCCTTTGATAAGTATGGCGGTGTTCTAACATTTGGCGGAGGGTGAAGATATGATCAATACATCCTCGACCAGAACGAAACCCAGCCTGCTCCTCGCGAGTCAATCTTTCTCGGGTTTTGAACAACCTACGAAGTATGACGGAAGCCAATAGCTTGGACGCAATCGGAAGTAGACTTATCCCCCGATAGTTGTTACAGGAACGACGTGAACCCTTTTTAAAGATAGGGACAACTATCGACTCATTCCATGACGTTGGTACACTCTCTAGTTCCCAAACCTTTGTAAACAACGTCGTCAATTCCTTAGTCAAAAAGTCACCACCATCTTTAAAAAGAGCCGGAGGTAAGTCATCTGGGCCAGGTGATTTGTAACGCTTCAAGAGTTGGAGTTCCTTGCGGACTTCCTCCTCATTTGGTGGATCAGTCGTCACCGGCCATGGAGGGCAGGACAGTCTGACCGATGTTGCCGGAGCAGCAGGCCAGTTGAACTGCCCTTCGAAAAATTCTGCCCATCGTCCAAGACGTCGATGGATGTTAGTGATTGGCATCCCATCATCCTCGCAGATTGTTTCACTCACACCAGACTTCTTGCTGCCAGTGGCTCGGATGAGCTGGAAGAGCTTCCGGTAGTTACCAGATGCAGCTGCTGCTTCCAGCTCATTAGCACGCATCGACCACCAGGCTTCTCGGTCCTTACGCAAGCTTTGCCCAATTTCCTTACGTAACATCCTTCGTTTATGGTCAAACTCACGGTCACCCGGAGTAGACCGACGGGCTTCAATGAGTTGTAAGGAACCAGAAGAAACCCAGTGCTTAAAAGCGGGACGTTTCGCAAACCCACAACTGACTGTTCCCGCCATTTTCATGGCGTCATGCAATTGCAACCAATGCTCATCTATACTTTTCGGTGGAGTGGTAGCTAGCCTAGAGGCTAGCTCGGTTCGATACTTACTTGCAACAGAAGTTGCAACCAGCTTGCTAACATCAATCCGTTGATGGCGTCACTTCGTTGTCCACTGAAAAGTAAGGCAAGATTGGCGCAGACCAAGGCATGGTCAGAGTCCAGATAGGTACTCCAAAAGGAGCGGCAGTCTTGTACACAACCACGCCAGCGGTAGCTGATCGCGATGTGATCAATCTGAGTCCAGGCTTGAGATGCAGAGGGAGGACGCCAGGTGGCACATCGGCGATGACTGTGCCGAAAGTTAGTGCTAGCCAGAAACAGGTTGTGGTCTGTGCAAAGTTGCAGTAGACGGTCCCCGTTATCTGACCTGCGACCAACGAGTCCCCATCGGCCACCTAAACGACTCTCTTCTGTGCCTAGACGCCCGACCTGAGCATTCAAGTCTCCGGCTAGTACTACAATATCTGTCGAACGCACTTTCTGGAGAAGAACAGATAACTGGTGGTAAAACTCATCCTTGATTGCATCCGGGCTGCAATCTGTCGGGGCATAGGCGGAGATGACGAAAAGACATCGTTTCTCACGCCGATTTCTTCTCACTTTGATGGAACTTTCTAATCTAACAGCACATAACCGACTGTTAATGGGGATCCAATCGACTAGTGCTGCCTCAGCTCTAGCGCTTAGTGCGACACCAACGCCAGCAAGACCAGACGAAGATGCCACAGGGTCCCCGGATAAGCGCACGTAAAACAAGCTTTTCGAAGCGACAGATGGAGATCGAATTTGTAGTACTTCGCCAGAGTCTTGAATACGGGTCTCGGATAGACAACAAACATCGATATTAAGACTTTCCAAAGACATAGCCAGCCCTATCTGTTGTCCGACCTGCATAAATGTGCGAACGTTGAAGGCAGCCAGTTTGAATGGTGCACGTGGTTTCAAAAACACTGCTTCAGTCCTCGTATTCGGTGGTAACATACAATTTTCAACCGGACAGTGACTCGAGAACGTTTAGATACAGTCGAATTTCCACCAAAGACGAGCCGCTGTATAAGTATAAAAGAGGGTGAATAATGTGGAAAATAATAATAACAATAATAGTAATAATAATAATAATAGTATTAATAATGACAATAATTGTAATGATAATAATTTGAATCAATTGATTGTTTTTCGAAGCGAGAAAAGTAATTTCCATAGACAAAGAGTTCATCATTTGTGTGTGGGCTGTGATACTGCCCGGGTGCCCAAACCGAAGCAGGTGGTTATCTTAGGGGGCCACACCCCGAGCCTTTGACCTAAAGGTCTAACCCACAAGGCAGTGGAGCATCGTAAGGAGATGCAATCCCATGGTAGCCGGTGACCAACGATTGGTTCATACGCCATTTGTTCCCGCAGGATACTGGAGCCCATGTGCACCATTGGTTTGGAATCCGGTTAAAGCGCCGGACATTCGCTTTTCGTCCTCTCATTTTCGTAAACAACACCCCCTCCACGAGAAGGCAATGAGTAGGACTTCCCTGGCAGAGGCTGTATACGCGTGGCCGTGTGAGAGTATTTCGAGAGGGAGAGCGGACTCTCCCCACTCCCGGCCGTACCAGGGCATTCGGGGGCAAAGCAGAATAATCATTCAGAAACAATTATTAGTATTCTAACATTTAATAATTCATACGCCGAATACAGGTTTACATACTCGAATTTCCATTGCACAATATGCATAAGTTTACTGATAGTATTTAGACCAAATGAGTTGGAATGCAATTCGAACATGTTATCTACCAATTGAAGGTTAAGCAATCTATGTATTGAGTTGATTTTTCATTTGACATAAATAAGTGCCAGACTTAGTGACCGAGATAAATCCCCAGAATCGTTGTTTGGTAAAATAACAACTAATCGTTTCTCATTATTAAAAATTACAGATGACAACTGTGTAAAAACGATTTGCAAATAACAACTACTATAGAGAAACTGTATATTTATCTCTACATCCACTTATAGTATTTGACAGTGTAACTGCCCTGTAGACATATTCATTTGGAGAATACAGCCAGATAACTATGTTGTAGAATTTCTAAAACATACACTAGGGTAGTTGGCAGCCTGGTTGGTAGATACCCGACGGTAACTCAACTTACGGATTACAAAGTCGTTTGTTGTCTACCATTCGATCCATATCGCCAGTTACGTATATATCTATATCAACGTTCATCACATTAAAAATCCCTTGTATACTGAAAAATTTAAACTGTTCTCACAACCTCAGCCGATGAAATAATCACAGATTTCGCCTAAAATTTTATATACTCGAAAGAAAAAAACCATTTACTAGAGACCTATTCTCTTTATTTTAAATTGGGATTTTCGTTTTTCATTAAGTAATTTCTAAGCTTCAAAGTACCCTATTTAGATTTATGTACTATAAACAAC